AAGAAAAAAAAAAGGGGGCAGGTGGTAACTTCTTGACAAAATAAATAACCGCAAGACAGACATAACTTTTTCCCACAATGCACCTGGAAAAGAAAGTAACCCAACTAGACAAACTCGAAAGCAACAAGTTTGTACAAGCTAAGAGATAAGAGGGAAAAATTAAACTTCTTCATTGATAAAACGCGTAGTGTTTGAAAGTCAACATCATAAAGCAAAGACCATATGAACTTTCTTGACAAAATAAATAACCGCAAGACAGACATAACTTTTTCCCACAATGCACCTGGAAAAGAAAGTAACCCAACTAGACAAACTCGAAAGCAACAAGTTTGTACAAGCTAAGAGATAAGAGGGAAAAATTAAACTTCTTCATTGATAAAACGCGTAGTGTTTGAAAGTCAACATCATAAAGCAAAGACCATATGAACTTCTGCGCGTGCAGATACATGGCCAAAACGTTTAGGGTAGAAACTTTTAGGAAGAAAAAAGCATAGCATACTGAACGGAGCACGCAAACTTGAAGCAGCAGAAAGACTAGGCAAGTGAGGAGGCTAATGATAATTTTGTAATACTACACAAAATGAAAATAAAGCAGTAAGGCTTCTAAACAAAGAAAAGGCAAACGAATAAATCTAAGAAGGGTAAAATTATTGCTACAGATACTATAACACAAGAGCAGTGCATCAAGACCAGGTAAAGAAATAAGCTGACGTCTACTGAAATAAGCGCAAGCAGCATACAGGGCATGCAGGAAGAAGAAAATGGTAATAGGGTGAAATACATGAAATATTTATTGTATTCAGCAATGCACAAAATAGATTATAATCTCAGAAGCAAAGAAAGGCAATGCTTGAAAATGAATACAATGTTATATAATGTTATTACTCAAAGCCGAGCAAGTAGAGGTGGAAAACATAGGAAGCATGAGAAGTCGTACATATGTTGCATGTCCTGAAAAAGGTTACTAAGATTGTTACTGAGAGTGCTGAAAATGGAAAAAGAAGAAACATGCTTCACAAAGAAAAACAAGGGAAAATGTAGATGACATCTTCCATAACATATGATGAAGGGATAACTGTCTAGCAGGTTGTTTATTTAGAAACCAATCTTTTTCCAATGAGATATTATTTAGTCCCTCATTAAAAAAAAAAAAAAAAAAGAGAGGAGATAATTATATTTGAACACCTGGAGGGAAAACAGGGTTAACTAGTTGAGTCTAAACTTTGTGGGAACAATGGAAAATAACAACATTGTGTCATTTTTCATCTTTCTGAGAAAAGCCTGATATAGTATACTGTGGTAGAGAGCAAGACTGACCACCAAAAAAGAAAATCATGAGTGAGTGAGAGTGATTTAGCTGGCAATATGCTGCCTGCAACATGATGGAGAATAAGGACAGTGAAGATAATCTGAGAGGTACAGGGCTGGTTAGAACAGAGTAGATATTTAAAAATATGTTTTGGAACGAGATTTGCAGACTAAAACACCACGCTGTAAAAATGATTACCAGGTATGTCAACAGCACCAACCAAAAAAAGATTAAAATCTGTTCTAAAAATGCTTTTGCTTTGGTGTCACAAACCACTCCCTTCATGGTCAAAATACCTTAAAATGTTCAGATTAAAACAAAGTGATTAATCTAAAAAGCAGACACAGTAAATTAAAGGAGCAGGGAGATAACAATCTGATAATACAGGAGCACAGAAGGCCTAATAATGATATTATTATGCACACTAACCAAACACTGACAAACAAATATTCTGTTAATTATATAATCATGCATATGCTTCCTATGCTTGAGATAAATGATTATGGAAAATAACTCTGTTCTTGAAGCTCCATATATGTACTTATGTCATCATATAAACTCCCGACAACATGGATTAATTTAATTTCTATGTTTCACTCTGGTAAAGTATTCACTTTTGAATACTGGCGTACAAGCTTCGCTTTGACTAGAAACTAAGAGTTAATGAAAGCTGCTATGTCTTGACATACAGACAACAACCAGATTTCTCTTATCAATAACAAACTATTTGGAATAAATTTAAGATACAGATATCTGATTTTCCTTCGACCTGTTCCAATTTGCACTCCACTGTGTCAACTTTAATATCAAAATGTTCCACTAGAATAAAGATATTTATAATAAAAAACATATATAAAGAATAGAAGATGAATAGATATTGTCATGGATACATATGCAAGTAATCATTTAAACATGCAGCAACAGTAACATCACATCTTTCATAGCTTCTAGTTAACGTACAGCAGACAAATATATGTTTAATAAAGCTTATTAATCCTTAATAAAGTCATTGCACTGTATTTATGATATATAAATGCATTTTGCACTAGGTTATGCTGCAATGAGACATATTTAAAAAGTTGGACCCTGTTTTTTCAACTCAGCAATGAATTAACTGTCAAGTAGCAGTCTCAGTAGCTGCCAGAGAAAGCGAATTCCCTAGTGTGGGGCGCTGCCTCAGTGCCGTCTAAGGTCTCTAATTCCAGTCTTTGCTGGTGCAAAATAAATTAGGAAATATGGGCCTAAATCTTGAAGCTTGGCTCTTGTGCAACGCAAACAGAAACGACCTGGCAGCAGAGCAAAACCAGCACGGCTGTGAATTCTCCTTTATCAGATTTCTTTGGGGAGATGAGGCTGATTGGGTTTGATACGTGTACGCTTCTGACGGCTCTGCAGCCTTCGGTGCAACTCCAGCAGCAGCCCGCGCCGGCAGCGAGGCGCAGAGGCCGCGCGGCGGTGGTGGCGGCCTCCGGGGCAGGGGCAGGGGATGGGGATACGGGCCCGTGGCTTTCTCGAGGGACGCAGCCACGGCCGAGTTAAGGGTAGAAGAGTCCTCACGCTTCCCACTGTCCTTTCCCAGGTCTACCCGTGCCCGCCTCGGCACAGTCACCACAGTGGTGGGCACCCAGTCCTGTGGCCCTACAGGTTTTGCACGTCCGATCCAAGGCGTTTTTCAGCCTCCTCCACCTGCCTTCCTATCCATTTCTCCATTAAACGTGAACCTGAACGCCAGTTGCCCGACACGGTTCGGGCAGTTTCGCCAAGCCGACGGCAGCAGTCGCGATTTCCGCGCGACCCGAGCACCCGAAGCGTACCGATGCGCGTTGCGGCGTTCGGCAGCATCCCCCACGCCGAACGCAAAGTTACGCACCCACCTCGATTTTTCGACTGCGACCTGCCCCAGCCTGGAGAGTGTGCCTGTCAAAAAGCAAAAGTGCTAGGAAATGAAATTCATAGCACTGAAAGGCATCGCACACAAGCTGTCGTCCCCTCTCACATTTTGCATGAGCAATTTCTGCTCGTTTGTGTTCTCTCACATACAATGTCCTGAAACGGTTACATAAAATGAATATTTAACTTACGTATTGAACTGCACTTAATTGCTTATTAAGTGAAGTAAATTATCCTTTCCATATTTGTCAGAGGTGAAAAACGTACATATATGGCTACATGTACTGCATTCATTAGTTTACAGACCCCAAATCCCTTGGAAAGTATCAGATATCTACACAGTGTCCCATGGTGCAGTACTTTGTAGTTGGATGTCTCAGCTAGCTTGCAGATATGTAAAATCATATACAAACAGACATCTCCCTATTGAT